TTTTTTCTTAAAAGTCATACTTGGCAAACGGTTAATGACCTTTGTCATTACTAATGCTTCAGTGGTGAATTCATAGTTGTTGAAGAGTGATTTGCAATGCAGTTCGACTTTTCCTTTGCACTTGTTAGGGGAGGTACCTATACCAGATACAGATGCATGTATGCTATGTCGTTTCAACCCTAGTAGTTGTGCTGCATTCTCTGTTATGAGGGTTGTTTGCGAACCTTGGTCGAGAAGTGCGCGCATGGTGGTGTAAGTACCATCCGCGGCTCGTAATTGCATTTGAATTGTTGCAAGTAATATTTCGTCATCATCACCGGCCACGTGATTAGCGTGCACGTTCTGCAGTGAATTTTGTTTGTTCGAGGTCGATGCTCCCTTATTCATTGCAGTAATTGCCTCATGTAATAAAGTATTATGTGGCATATTGCAGTCTTTGCAGCGTTTCTCGGAATTGCAACCATATTTATGCACATACAAACAATTTTTACAAATGTTTGATTTTGAAATGGCTTGAAGTTTTGCGTCCGGTGTCATATTCTCAAATATTTTGCATTGATATAGTCCATGATTTTTATTGCAAATAGGACATGTAATTGCAGGTTTGGAGTAAACATGAAATGTTTTATTGTACGAAGTATTTCGCTTCTCAAATGCAGGTTTGTTAGAATTGTAGGTTTGCTTGAACTTCGGTGCAAAATTTGTCTTGAACGAACATGTTGGTACCGATTCCTTTTCCTTTTTATTCATCGGCTCCAATGCAATAAATTTGGCTTCCAAAAATTCCATGAATTCGTCCAAGTCTGGTACATCGCGTGGTGATTTTCTTGCCTCCATATAATCGCTGAACGTCACGGTGTCTAATTTCTTTGCAATTAAGTGCACAAATACTGGATCCCAAGACGAAGTGTCGATACCCATGTTGTATATACCATGTATGCACTCCATAGAAGTGTCATGAAGTCGTCTCAGTTCCATGGAAGTTTGTTTTTGAACGTTAGGTTGATTGAGTAGGGTTTCCATCTGTTTGGTGAAAAGTACTTGACGGTTATCGTACCGATGATTTAATATCTTCCAGGCAGAGTCATAATTATCAGATGAAATATGCAAATGTTGTATGAGCCGCTCCGCTTCGCCCCTTAGCTTGCCTTTGAGATGTTGCATTTTTTGTACTTTGTTCAAAGCGGGATTGTTATGCACTGCTTCCTTGAATAGATCTAAAAATGTATTCCACTGAGTATAATTGCCAGAAAAGGTAGGAATATCAATTTTGGGGGTAGAAAGATGCAAATGAACGGTAGAAGACAGCTTCTTATTTAAGGCTTTATTCATAGATCTGAATAAGGTTTCCAGTTCTATATATTGATCTTGGTATTCCGCATCAGCTCCGTCTAGAATGTTGTCAATTTTCAAATGTAAATCTTCAATGTTGTTCCAGCGAATTTGTAAATTTTTCAGCTCGTATTCCAACTCCCATTTCTCATGGATAGAGTCAATATCAATATTGTCTGCGACTCTACAAAACGCTCTGAAGTTTGTTCTCTGCAAACTTAAATAGTCTTGAACTTTTTCCAGGTCTACTTGAATTTTTTCGTCTTGCTTGTTTCTTCCGTTCGGTTTCCCATATTCCATTATCATATCACGAGTCCTTTTATAATAATCTTGATATGCCGCAAACACATCCTTTGTGAAATATTCATGAGTCCTATCTTTTTCTGTTTCCAATATTGTGTTGTTGTCTTTAAATTTTTCCCAAACTCCATCTAACGTCTCTAATCTCTTCTTAATGTAATCTTCAGTTTTTCTTATCTTAGGATCTTTTGTAAAATTGCTATGCAGCCTTTCAAGCTCGAGAATGAGCATAGATTGGAGTTCAAGTAACTCATTCTTGGCCGAAGACATTGTCCAAGTATAAACAATAATGCAATAAAGTCACTGTAAAATATATGCAAAAACTTCGTACTGGTATCTTGTACTTAGTGTCCCGGATATCTCTGCACGATATATGCGCCTTCTCAATTTAACTGGTGAGACCCGCTTCTGGGAGGCCAGTCAAACCGATTCGCTATCGCACTTCAACTTCCAAAAACACCAAGTAAAAAAGGCTCGAAGGACCAAATTATGTGCCGTTAACACACGTTGCACTGCAGGATGTATGTAAATGCAAGTAGGACGATGCAAGGAGATAGAGAGATGCAAATTGCAATGCAAATGATTGGAGTATTATTAAATAATGTAAATAAAACGACCGTGTCCGAACGAGACAATAATAACACTCATTTATTGCAAAATATACATCGATCAGCGTGGTGTTGCAGTAAGCATAAATCGAATACATATGATATCGTGCGGGTTTACTTGTGCATATTAAAATAATAAAATGTAAATCATAAAAATGTACGGTTTCACTCGTACATACTGCCTACTCTAAAAGGACAAAATGCAAGAGCAAAAAGATGCAAAGTGCTACTCTAAAAGTAAAAAATATTAAAATAAATTAAAGAAAGTACCTAAGTAAAAGGAGGTTAATATAAAATAAAACATGTAAAATTAAATTAGACAGTTTCTCCACGTATCGTCTTGAAGTGGATGGTTCTGTGTTTTGCCAATGGAGAAGTGGTCTTATCCGCTGATCCAGGTTCGTTAGACCGCGGCGGCGGCGCGCTGACAACGATTGTGGGAAGCTGCTGCTGTTGCAAGTTTCCTCGGGGATCCTCCCGCGACTTTCGTTTGCACAGCCAAGTCGTTCCAATTGCAATAGCTACAATGACTACGGAGAATACAATGTAGATCATCGTATAGTGATGAATGTCGTCGTTGCTTATAATTTCCTTTTGTTGTTGTAATTCTTGAATTTGCTGTTTTAATTTCCAAAGGGTAATGTTATGGCTTTCGACAACAAATGGTATACGTGCTATTGAAGAATTGACCAATGTGTTTAGGGTTGAATTTGGAAATATTTCTCCTGTGTTGTAGTCGTCAGTATAGAGTTGACTAATGTAGTCATGATGTCCCTGAATGGTAAAGGTGTCACCTTTCAAAACACAATCTTGACCTATATTGATAAGGCCATTGTATTGTAGACATGCAGTCGCCACTCCCGAGGGACACAAAATGCGAACTTTGCATTCTTCACAACATGTAAACAACCATGTATCTCGGGTTTGTAATTTCATCCACCTGTCGGCGCAATCCTTTATTTCGCTCCGACAATAAGTTTCTTTGCTATTATCATTCATTATTTTGACATCACATATTGATTGATCTACCCTTAGTTCGTATAGGGGGCTGCTTAACGGACATAGAAGTTTCTGTTCGTTGTATTTGATGCAATTTTGTAAATCCAATTCAGTAAGCGACATAAAGGTATCTTTTCTTAAATTAAATGCAATGTACTCTGAGGCTGGAGTGATGTGAACATATCTGTTTTTTCTATGTTGATGTATGGGTATGACCTTGTTAAGTTCATAGCTGTCTGTTCCGAGTAATGGTATTTTCACTTCGATTATGACGTATTGTTCCGTCACTCTTGCCTTAACGCGTAAAATCTTGGATACCTCCTTAATGTTGTTTGCGTCCACAGGGGCTAGATGTTGTCCTTGTACTTGTCTAGAGATAATGTTTAACTGATTCTGCAGCTGTTCTGGAGCCAGAAGATGAATGTCTAATCTTCCATGGTAAATGTTTGTTACCGTATTAATGACAGTTTCTTGGATCCGCCTCAAGTTTGAAAGTATGACGTCAAGTGCAACGGCATTTGCAGTGAAATAAAATAGGTGGATTGCATTTTGATGCGCCTCGTGCACTTCGTTGGAGATATTTTTCAATTGTTCATCAATTATTTGGAATTGTTTATTCATAATGACCTCGTTCCGCTGTAAAATGTTATTTTGCGATTCCAATATTGAAGTTTGATTTTTTAACAAACTTTGCAAATAGTCTTCGTTTTGATGGACTCTATTTATGTCCTTTTCATATTTCTGTGCAAAATCGTCGTCTAGAATTCCAAATAAATAATGTGACACAGTTCCGATTCCGTTTATGAGTCCTCGCTTGGGTCTAGACTGAGGCTGTAGTTTAAGAATACTGTTGTAATGCTCCAATTCATTCAATTCGTGCCTAAATTGAGTTAAAGTAAGTGTGCAAGTACTTTCTCCGTTGCAAATGTTCTCTAGGTGATGCAAATAATTTTCAACATTTTCCACACTCTTCCAGTAGGTCGACATATTGTGATACACGATTAACTTCCAGTTGTTTTTTATTAATTGCAAATCTGCAAGTCGATCGAAATATAACGCCTTGTTTCCGTTTAATGTCGTTATTTTGTGTGTTTGTTGCATGGATGGTGCGATTAATGCGAAAATCATAAGAGTCAATGCAGAGATGAAAATGTTTGGCTTGTTTCTTATGCGTCTTGCAGGGGTTGTTGTTTCTGTAGTGGTTGCTGGAACTGCTGAATGAGGGTTTTCTTTGTCAGGATGCACTGGTAATGGGCACAGTTTGACAACCGGGCGTTTGAAAACTGCCGTTTGTGTTTTGACGGTAACTGCTCGTACGTAGCCGTCCTTTCCAGGGTGAACGTCAACAACCTTTGCAAGGGCCCATTTCGAGGGCGGCAGGTTATCGTCTTTCACCAATACTACGCTGTCAATTTCAATGTTCTTCGTCGGTAGATGCCACTTACATCTTGTCTGCAATGTGTGAAGATAATCGGATGACCACTTCTTCCAAAACTCCTTGTACATCTTCTGAGTCATCTGCCACCTGGTTTTGATATTGTCGATATTGATGTCAGAGAGTGGCTCTGATAAAAGAGGACCACCAACTAGAAAGTGACCAGGTGACAAATAATGCATGTCTTCTGGATCCTCGGTCAATGAACAGAGAGGTCTAGAGTTAAGGCACGCTTCAATTTGTGCAAGTAATGTCGAATATTCCTCGAAGGTCAATTTTTGATCGCCTATTACACGCTTCAAGTGATGTTTTAAACTCTTCACAGCTGCTTCCCAGAGTCCACCAGCACTGCTCCAGGTAGGTACGTTGAAGTGCCAATTGACCCCAAGTTTGTTGACGTGATCCAGGAAGTCCGTGTTGATAACTTGCAAAGCTTGTTTGTATTCTGTCGCGAGCACCCGGGCGGCACCGACGAAGTTGGTGCCGTTGTCACTATACATGTGTTGTGGCGTGCCGCGCCTGGCACACATTCTTTTAAATGCGGCTAAAAATGCTGAGGTGCTGAGATCGGACACGAGTTCGAGGTGAATAGCCTTTATCGTTAGACATATAAACACTGCAATGTAGCCTTTGGTTGTTTTAATCCCACGTCCTTTATTGGCTTTGACGTCAACGTGGCCGGTGAAATCTACGCCGGTATGTGTAAAAGGACGTGAAATGCGTACTCGTGGTGACGGCAAATCTCCCATCAGCTGTTCTTGTTTCTGTGCACTGAAACGTATGCATTTAGTACATTGACGCAGTACTTTCTTTACAGCCCGATTCCCGCTTATAATCCAATACTTGTTCCGGACATGCGCTAGGGTAAGTTTAACACCACCGTGCAATGTAGTTTGGTGCGCTTCTGCAATAAGTAATTCCGTGAATCTTGCATGATATGGAATTATAATCGGCTGCTTTGTATCATTGTCGAGATTTGATCTCTGTAATCTTCCTTTCATTCGCAGGATGCCCTCTGTATCCAAAAAGGGATTCAAATTTGCAATGTAACTTTTCCGAGAGACATGCCCTTTGTCTCTTATGTTTTCAATTTCTTTTGAGAACATCTCCGCTTGCACTGATTTAATTATGATCTTCGTAGCATTTCCAATTTCCATCGCTGTTAGAAAGGACGCGTTTGTAAGTCCATTGTTATCCGATCGACCTCGTGCATTTGTTATGAAACGCGACACCCAACATATGACGCGCACCGCCCGAGACAGTGAACTGCATTTATTTATAAGTTCACTTATAAGGGGTGAAGTTTTAATTTGTACCGTGCAGATATGTTTCTTCACTTTAATTTCAACCTCTGGCGGTTCATATGTGCATTGAGATGGTTGTAGGTTCTCAATAAGCGACGGCGGTCCCTCCCACCAGAGATGGTGGCACTTCAGCTGGGTCGGTGTCAGTCCACGCGTGGCACAGTCGGCGGGATTCAGGTCTGATTTGACGTAACTCCAACATGTTGGCGGCATAATTTTCTTAATCTCGTTCACTCTATTTGCAACGTATGTCTTCCACTTTGCAGTGTCACCATGTATCCACCCCAATACCACCATTGAGTCAGTCCACCCATGTATTTGTATGTTGTCACGTGTCTGCAATGAATCAATAATTTTGTTCATCAATTTTGATAACAAGACAGCACCACACAATTCTAAACGTGGGAGTGTGGCTTTTGTTTTTTGTGGTGCCAATTTTGTTTTCGCTGCAATGAGACGGACTATTGGTTTTCCGTTCTCGTCAAATGTTTTTGCATAAACACAAGCAGCATATGCTTTCTCAGATGCATCTGAAAACCCATGAAGTTGCCGACCCTTTTCAAGGTCACCAATCCATCTTGGAATTCTTATTGAATTGATGTTTTTCAGATCTTCGCGCAATTGATTCCATTCGTGTTGCATATCACGAGACAATTGTTCGTCCCAGTGTGTATTATTGGCCCATAGTCGTTGAAACATTATTTTCGCCTTTATTGTAATTGGAGCAAGCCAGCCAAGCGGGTCAAATAACTTTGAAATGTCCGACAGCATTGTACGCTTGGTGTCTTGCTTTGCAATGTGATTGATTTTGCTCTCAAATGCAAAAACATCAGTTGAGGGGTGCCAATGCAGGCCTAGAGCTTTTGTTGATGTAGATTCGTTGAAGTTGACACTCTTGTTACTGATTTGATCTTGAGTTAAATCAGCAAGGAGGCTCGGTTCATTGCTGGACCACTTTCTCAAATTGAAACCAGCTCCGCGTAGCATGTTGATGAGCTGTTGTTAGACTTGCTTTGCCTCTTCTATGCTGTTGTTGCCATGTAAAAGATCATCCACATAAAATTTATTTTTCAGAACGTCAGCTGCTAACGGATACAATGATGCGTCATCGTTTGCCAATTGTTGCAATGTTCGAATAGCGAGAAAAGGGGCCGCTTTCATACCATATGTTACAGTGCAAAGTTGATATTCTCTGAGGATATTGTGTTGATCTCTCCAGATGATCTTTTGCAGGTGTTGGTCCTCCTCATGGAGCCAAATCATACGGTACATCTTTTCGCAGTCCGCTGTGTAAACATATTTGTAACCTCGCCAACTCAATAACAATAGCTGCAGATCGGATTGCAACTTAGGACCGCACTCCATCAAATCATTTAAGCTATAGCCAGACGATGTTAGTTGCGATGCATTAAAAACGGTTCGTAATTTTGTGGTGGTAGAATCTTCTTTTAACACTCCGTGGTGTGGAAGATAGCATTCTGTACTTCTTTTATCTGTACAGATTTTCATATGGTGCATGGCATCGTATTCCTTCATAAATGCATGATACCTTTCGCTTAGCTGTGGGTTCTTCGCTAGCTTGCGCTCTAATTGCATGTATTGTGCAACGGCCGTAGGCTTCGATTGGCCTAATTGCTTTTCAAAGCCTTCTTTCATAGGCAATCTCACTTCATATGTCCCATTTGTTAAGCGACGTGTCGTTTTGGTGTAGTAGTCTTCGCAGAATTGTTCATCTTTAGTTAACTGTCGTTTTGTCTCTGTGATATCCTCCAACTCCCAATAATTGCTGATATCTTCGATGTTATTGATCACCACATGACAGTTGAATGATTTTGTTATTGAACCAGACAAAATCCAGCCCATCTGCGTCTGTTGTGCTATTGGTTGATCGGGTGAACTCTTTAACAGCCCATCCATAATGATTTCTGCGTAGACTTTTGCATCCAATAGAATATCAACCGGCCTTGATATATTGTAGTCCGGATCTGCAAGCTGAAGATGTTGGATGTGCGCGTACGGTTTTTT